TTGTACAGTATCATATACAGTTTATGGTGGGATTCCTCTAACTTTTATAAATCTGTTTGCAAATCTATACTTTAAAGTTAAATTACTACCTCTATTACATATGTTTTTATTGTGAATTATTACACTATTTTTGTATGTATGAAATGATAACCGAATCATTCTTCATTTTCCCGCACTTTTTAACCACGTGATGCTTTTGTGTATTAATATCTGACAACTGATGACAGGGCAGTCTTCATTTAACAGTGTCTGAATATCTCAATAATTTCATCAGTGACCCTATATATTATTAATATCATGCATGAGAATTAGGACAACAAAAGTAAAATGAGACTATAAATAATTTAGAGTTATCATTGAGATTTTTGTAATATTTATTAAAAATTGGGAAAAAATATAAATATTATGAGGAAATTCGGACTGTGATAGTTATCACATTTATTAATCTAATCATTTCTTTACATGAAGCGACTTTGGTTCAATGCTATAAAATTTCATTATTTAGTTAGGTTGCTTATTATATTTTGTGAGTGAAAAGAAAAAGGTCACTGTGTAAATCATTGAGGTATTTCCGAGAAATACTCAAGGGTCACAAGCATGAAAAGTAGGTCATTGACCTAGTTATTTGAAATATAAATTCAATACAAGAATCAAAGGTGTATAATTTGCAATAGGTGGTTTTTCGTTCCCTTAATTTGTTTATTTTTCAAATGATTGAGTTAATTTTTTTTTTTTTTTACATTTTTGCTGCAATAATTCTCCAATTATAAAGCGACCCAATAATATGCATGTCAGATAAAAAAAGTTATACTTTAAAGTATCTGAAAATGCTCAACAAACTAAATATAAAAATTGCATTTGCCTATGCATTTGTCATCATTGATATTGCTAGATAATTTTTGTTTATTTAATGTGTAGGAAGCAAAAGTCGGAAATAAGTGATGAAGAGCTGTGAATAAGACATTTTACGAATTTTTTTGTTAAAATTGATCACGAATATGTCTTATGTCATTTCCACACTCTGTAGCTCCACCACTAGTTAGCACACATGTGTTAGCAACGCTCACAAGATTACATATTGTTGTAACTATCATTTCAAATTTGAGAATCGAGTCAATCCGTGGCAGAAGGCATACGATTGTGAGTTTGAAGATATAGATATAAACATCTTCAAATACTATGGCAGTACAATTACAACCAAAATCCAACCTTAATGTAGACTATGTCACGGCAAAGGATGACGCAATCTAATGTTTATCAGCCAGAAACGCAGCTGGGGAAACGATAAGTAAAGAAAATCGTTTTGTGGTGATAAAGGTTGGGATGTTTCATGCCCCTGTCATCGAATATTCGAGGAATCTTGTTTAGCCCTGTTTTCCGTTAGCCTATCTGTCTTCGACAGCAGGAATCAAAAACCTTGTCAATAATTTTATGGACTTTATATTTAACATGTGTATTTCTTTCACTTATATGTTTATGTTTATGTATTACCTGTGAAATGGCTTACCCTTGAAAATAATCAATTTTATCTCTGACATTTAATGTTTGACCAGTCTTCTTTTAAAATACTAAAACCTCGAATAGATATGTAAACAATTAAAGCAATTAATGAGCTGCAACTTTGATGTCGGAATTTTTTGTTGCAAAATTGTAATTATCCTTTTCAATGACAGAAAAAAATAACGTTAATAAACTTCTGTTGTTCCTTTGAGATGAAAGAACTATTTACATGTATAAGCTTCAATTGAATAAAAATTACATTATTGTCGTCCCGTACAATACTGATTTCTTTATACAAAACTGTATGTTGGATTGTATGTAGAAGTCTTTCTTTGGCTTTATTTTAGTCTAATTCATCATAAAGGTTTAAGTTACATACAAATTTATCACAACACATTTTAACAGGAAAATAAAATTTTCAAAATTGCATCTCATATTGCTTTAAACAATTGGAGCTATTTGTATTTCACATTTCTAATCCTAGTGACAAAGACTTACATTAGCCAACGTTAATTTAGCCTGTAGAACTTCGAAAGAATTTTTTTTTACTTTGGCTATAATTGTTAAACAATTAAAATTGGAGTTTTCAATATGACAAGGCAATTTATTAGGTACGATAATTCTGATCTCTACTTTGAAATCTCAAGTGCATTTAGAAACTTGCACCTTAACCAAAACCTAGCATAAAGGGCCTTCAGTATTGCAATCAAACTCCTCTATGTTTTGTCAATGATTTTTATCATATATGTACTTAAGGTTTATAAACCCTTTGCTCACTCATATCAAATGTTTCTTTAATCTTATGATTTTTCAAAGGAAATGGATATGCTAAGTAAAATACAAACAATTATAGCAATGACTTGCGGGGCAAAGTTAGGCAAAAGCACACTTCAACTTGACAAATGTATAAAGGAATAATAGACATTTATGTCATTAAGAGTTATCTCTATTATCAGATTATCAATATACCTTAATGTTATTGTCAATCATTATACTTTTTACAGCCGTCCTCTCCTGACTATCTGTGGAGAAGAAAATGTCCAATATGGTGAAAACACAAAACTTCAACTCCATATAAGATCAAATAAACCCATTAAGGCTATTACTTGGTTCAAGATTATTGATGGAACCCAGCCAGAAGTTATTCGTCGATGGAAGGAACATACATCACGCAATACAGTTAAGGATGTATGTTCTAAATAAAGACAAAGAAAACGTTTAGTTTTTAAAGCATCCGGCCATTGTCTTCTTTTTAATCAGTCGCAAAGTGTTCGGTTTATTTTATTTCTTTGCTCGTTGTGTTGGAATTTCACTCAAACCAAAATATGAATATAAAATATCTGCTACACTGTAAAATCAGTTACAGTTTTAACAGGTCGAGACCACTACCTTATACGGAAGACAATTTTCAACACGTTACGATTGTTTCGTCATACCCGTTCTCCAATCAAGTGAAGGAGTCCCAAAGCATGATAGCCTACTGCGCGTTTACGATTCATTGGCGATACGCGGTTTCTCGGTTTACTGCATGATATTTACTTCGTCACCGGAAAACCCGTAGTGCTTCTTCATTACTTTTTAGTCCAAAATTGAAATACTGTATTATATACAGCAAAACTCGGTCATAACGAAGTCACTGGGACCTATGAAATTACTTCTCTATATCCGTTATTCGTTATAACCGTATATGAAATTCATGAAATTATTTAGCTGGAGATCCAAGATGACTTCGCTATATCCGTAAATTCGAAATATCCGTGTTCGTACTAAACGAGTCTTACTGTAAATACTGTAATACTTAAGTGCAGTATTATATTCCAAAGACATTGCTCACTGCTCACATATAATATTGAGTTGTTTTAGATGATAAATAATAGCTTAGAATACGGTGCAAAAGCTTTCATGTTTGCATGTACATTAAACACTTTTTGATAATATTTAGGGGTTAAATAATAATTGCGCACCTTGAACTGCTGTCTTAAATTTTGGACACGTATATCACGTGAAAAAAACTACGATAGCACCTTCATGTACGTTTCTTCGAACAATTGTTTACGCCTATGTATTTTAAGTTGATATAAGGCTTCATAAAAGCAAATTTTGTTAATATGAGCAGAGCAGAGAAATGAAAGATTATAAATCAATTTAAAGATTTCTTCCATAAATATAAAAAAAATAATTGAAAATAATTTCCCAATGGACAATTCAGACTGGCCTTTATTTTCAACACAGCTGAGTACTTGTAGCCCACAATGCATTGCGACTCATTCATCGGCGGGTAAAGTAAACAGATAGCTCATTTACATGCAAATTTATGCTTACGTCAGAAAATCTAGTAAACTCGACCTGTTTAAGATTTGTTTGAACATCTATATTATATATTGCTCAAACTGGTTATTAATTCGGTAAAATGAGATATTTGGTGATGTAACATTTCGCTGCGAACGAACCTCAATAATCATAATGGATGTTGTATTCTCATGTTTTACCTAGCTCATGTGTTAAGAAAGTTGTGAATCATTGTAGAAATTGAGTATTTCGAATATGAAACATATGGATATAACGAATAGTATTTAAGATCAAAAGTCCATTAAACAATAAAAAATACGAGCAGAGCAAACATGAACCTCCAAAACATCGGCTGCCGACCGATCACATCTACTGTGTGATCCTTGTCATGATAGGGAAATAATGAAAAAATCCGTCGTCAATTCAGGGTGTAAATAATCGCATTTGTTTCGAGATTGTAACTCTCCTACGAAAGAGGCGCAAAAAGTACCCATTTCAGTATGGAGGTGGGACCGGTTATGGCTTTTAAAATTAATTAAGTGTTATAGAAAGATAATGATGTTAAGCAGTGATGCATATGAGGATTTTATTAAGCTCAACTATGCATCTTTACAAATCTACCATAAATTTTCGGGTACTTGAAAACGAAAGAAACATCATAGTCTTCATATACAGTAACAGACTTTCTCGATTGTACGAAATGTTTCTAAAAAGTAAGTGTTTTTAAGTTAAAATAAGGAAAAGAATCAATATTTAATTTAGATTCCCGACGTACAATGACCAGATGCATGTGTATCGTATTTATTAGAGGTCCATATCTCTACCCTCGTCCGAAAAGTCTCACATCCACTGATATTTTCTTTTTTGTTTCGATATTTATGATTTAAAAATGATGCCTTTACTTTAATTCGGTTATTCTCAAGCTGCAGAGTGCATCCTGACAATCGTGTAGTTATGATAAACCAGTATATCGATGATGCAATGTATCCAACATACACACTTATCAAATATCTGTCCCACCTGTTTGTTTACACAGCAACGAAACTCCCCTTCTCAACGAAAGAGCGCATCAAGGGAGACAATCTCGAAACTTGCGTATTTCTTTACTGCAAAAGACGTATGTCTTATAGCAGTATTATTGATAGCTTAAAATTTATGTACTTAATGTAATAGTTGAATTTTGTTTTCATAAAGATATTTTTGCTATTGAATGGAATGGTGATATGAATATTTGTTTTGTAGATGAGGGATCTGAAAGCAATTGGAATCAAATTTTGGCATGTACTTTATCCTAAGCAGAGTAAAGCATTGCTTAAAGAATGTGAGTAATAGTAACAACTGAATTATTGATGTTTTTCTGAAAGTTTTGAAATAGTTATTCATTATTTCAAGGTTAAAAACTAATAATTAAAGGTTAAACATTGATTTCAAGAGTACTCTTTCAGAATCTGAATATTGTTTAATTTTGGTGCTGATTTAAATATTTTATGCTAAGAAAAGTGTTTGTTTGCCCTATTTCAGTTTTTGGGATTTTCCACTTATTTTTAAATCCTCAGTCACTAGAGGGCAACTAAATATTGTTTTAAAGATGTCCTAGTTATATCATGATTCTGAATACATATAATATATTAGCCTAGTGAAAACTCAACAAAAACACAATGGGAACTTAGAAAAAAATTTCATTTTCTCTATTTCAGGGGATCTCTGGGGACCATTAATTTTGTGTGTGTTCATGGCAATGTGAGTATAGTATGTATGTCTTTACCCCTGTATTAAAAGTTTGAAAATATCTCTCATTTTTGAGGTTCTGCTTTGAATGTCCCTCTTGAAACACCATGTGTGTGTTTATTTCAGAATGTTACAAGGGTCTTCCTCGGAGAGCAGTAAGAAAAGTAAGGACACAGAGGGAGACGGGGGGCCTCAGTTTGCCGAAGTTTTTGTCATCTTCTGGGTGGGAGCAGTGGTGGTTACTCTCAATACAAAATTACTTGGAGGGAACATGTGAGTACCCCTCCTCCAAAGAGCCCAGGTTCCGAATAAATCTTCCTTTTTTATGTAATTTACAATTTTAGACAAAATTTATTGAGATGAAATAAATGATATCTATGTAATCATAAACCTTTATTTTCTAGAAGAACAACATTTGATATTATTACGTGTTAAGACAGTTAAATTTCATTTAATTCATATCTTCTCCTATGTGTGATGTCTCTGTATGAGTGAAAAATTCTCAAATGGGATGTAAAACAATAAACAATCAAGCTCTTATGTATACATGAAAATGTTTAAATCCAATAAATATGAGATGACACTATCCTTAAGTGCAAACCTTTGTGTTTTGCAGCTCATTTTTCCAGAGTATCTGTGTGCTTGGTTACTGTGTGTGCCCGCTGACTGTTGCTCTCATTGTGTGTAGAATTATCCTTCTGGCATCACAGTCTACAGTCTTATTCATTGTCAGATTTGTGGTGGTGGTAGCAGCATTTGCATGGTCTACATTTGGTAAGTTTTAATGATTTCACTATTATAAGATTTTATTTAAAATTTAACTATTTCTATGTCTCTATCTTCCAAGAAGCATGACCCATTAAAATATTACTTTGACATAAAGTAAATGGAAATTTAAAATTTTGTGTGAAATTCACATGTGTATTATTGCTGTATCTTTTTAATATCTGAATTATCTTTTTCTTGTACTTTCAGCATCAACAGCTTTTCTTGCAGACAGCCAACCAGCACATCGAAAAGCCCTTGCTATGTATCCTATATTTCTGTTTTATTTTGTGATCAGTTGGTTAATAATTTCTCATACACATACATCTTAGCAAAGAAAGAACTGAAATCCATGTCACCTTTAACAAATGCATTGTAAATACTTGTAATATTTATGAGATTCTTGTTTTGTATACATGTGTATATGTATTTTGTTTTATTTTTTTGTAAAAATTATATGGTTATATCTTAGTACTTTAGGTACAAAGTGCCTTTAAATCGCCATGTCTTTCTCATTTGACGCATCTTGGGTTCTCGAAGTATTTTTCGGACAAGATTGTTGCATTGTATGTTTAACATCCCTCTAGAGAAGTTTCACCCCTATGGGCCCCAACGTGCCGGTGGAGAGCTACAAATGTTTGTCCTATACTCGACACTCAGGGCTGTTGAGAAGGGAGGGGTCTTTTTTCGTGCCAACACCTACTGGAGTCAGTTTATAAAGCATAATCCGAAGGACCGGTCTCCACGTCCTACAGAGGGATTGGAGCACACGACGTAAGGAATCCTTACTTCGCGACTCAAGGGCAGACTTTCTAACAGCTGCGCAACGCGGAAGACTGCATGTTACATTGACCCATATCTAGTTTTTTTTTTCCAAGACAAAATTCTAGATATTTCAATTGATAAAAGACTTTAAAGTATTCAAATTTGTCAGCTGAAGAATTTTTCATCCAAATTCGGGAAAACATCACTTCTGCATCCTCGCGGGCCTCTTTGTAGGCTTTGAATAATTTTAGTGCCGATTTTAGAACAAGCATAAGTTTTTAACTACAAATTTGAACAAGTTAAATGCGTTCTGGTTTTTGCATCAAACAAGGGGCCAGATTCGGCCGATTACCATACATGTATCTTGTCTTAAAATATATACTGTATGTACTCAGATACCCAAAATGCACCAGCTGACGTTTGATGACTAAAGCCCTTCAAATATCGAAAATATATATCAAGCATTTTAAAAAAGAATTGACACAAGTTTTAAAAAGTAGGTCAATGTCATCAACTTTTGAATAAAATTATATGAAGTTTTCAAATGAATTCACTTACAAGATTTAGGTATCGCTTATGTCCATTATATCATTATGTAGTAAGCAATCTATAGAAGTTTTAACAAAACGTAATCTACACCCTTTGCAATAAGGTGATGTCTTGAACGATTACCAAATAAATTTTTAAAAAGGAAAGGTGACATTTGCCTATTCCATACATATAGGTTGATCTTTCAATAATTCGTGCACAAAGAAAGTAATATACAAGAGGAACTTGACAGGTCAAAAGAAAAAAATGCCCGACTCGAAAATTCTTTTATGTAGATGGAAGAAGGTTTAAAGTTCATTTTTCATCAAATTCAATTCATTAATATCTTAAAAATTACCCATATTTGACTTAACGGCGATAAAATTGGGAGGGATTATCTGTCTTTAAATCTTTTTCTATACTAAAAAAAAATATTGGAAAAAGGGGACAGCCCCTTTCCCCGAGCATGATATTAACATTTAAAAATTCCACATTCCTTACTTAAGCACGTACAGATAAGTGGAAATTTATTTTTTAATAGCTCCACCACTTGCTACCTTATCTGCGAGTCACATGCAGGGATATATCGAAGCAAATATTAGATCAAACAGTCCAGTGACCTCTTTCGACTTGGCAAAGGATGTACGACGGATCATTTCAGGATATAGATATTGCAAATATAAGGTAGGTGCTTCAGCTACTGACGAAAAAAATCCAAAGTTACAAATCCAGGACTTGACCGCAGAGGATGACACGTTGTACCGGCTTATTGTAAAAAACACTTCAGGAGAATGTACAACTAATGAAGTTCACCTAGTACTTAAAGATGGTGAGTTTACTGATTTTCATCGAGACAATAATTATAATTGAAAATACAATTAAATATTGTTTCCTATGTTGGTATATTTCTGCCCTCTTTATACACGTAAGATACATGTATCTACGTACAAGAAAATTGTGAAAATATCTGTAACCAAACTGATATGTGCAATTTTAATTTCTTACGGCAGCATCTGACATGCAATATTAAACATTACTTTGTTGCCATGTTACTTATCTATGTTGACGTGCAAGATAATCATGTAAACATGCGATATATTTGTAACTCCCTTGTTTCCATCACTATTTTGCATGTTGACATTATCAAGTCTTTATACTTACCTAGCATATGTTTAAATAAATAAGTCCCATATGCATGGGTACATGATAAAATTAAAAAAAGTTGCAGGATCATGTTGCATCTTGCACGAAAGTAACTTTTCCTTTTAAAGAAGTGGATAGGCATCGCGTTCATCAACTTCTCTACGAAAGCCTTCATATTTTGATCCTGGAAATCCTGAAAAATGTAGACACGGTGATATACAATTCAATTAACATTTGGTCTGAAATTTGTCTTATTTTACGTAAATGTAACAGATGTATTTTAGCATTAATAAACTGAACTGCCACAAGAAAACCAAGCCTTTCATAACTTTTATCCATATTTACAAGTTTTTGTTCTCGGATTCAAACTATTGCTATTTTACTGCAATCGGCATTCCTTGCTGACTCTGCTACACTAGTACTCCATTCAGTATGCAAGGCACGAGCCAACCGAGGAGCTCCGAGTATCTATCTAGAGCTATTTGCTTAAAATTTAAATTCTGGATGGAAACTTTTGAAAACGGATTAGCAAAACGTAAAGGTTGATTTTCTTGTGACAGTTCAGACTCGAGATTAACGCCTGTCCGGTAACATTGACAAACAAATGCGGACAAATGAATATTGCTGGACACTTATCCGATTGAACAAGACAGTGCATTTTAATGTAAAGGAGTCTCTAAATACATTTAGAACATAACCTACTTATTCAGCCAATCAAATTCTTCCATTTTTTTGGCGATGATTTGATTCTTCGTGGTGAAGAATTCTTCTTTTTTCTGAAAAATTCAACGGTGTCTGATTGGTTCACTTGACAGTTATATGGGGGTGTTTTCATTGGTCTTTGTTCAGCACACAAAGAGAAATTTTTCAAAACCCACGTGCTGTTTACAATGATATCTAAACTTTCTAGGCCTTGCTACACTTTTTTTCCCACTGTAAACTTTTGTCACCTTTTTGAATATTATTTTTTTTCACATTCCGGTACATACAGGAAATACAACCATCGTCATGTATATCAGTGACGAACCTTGTCTTTGAAGACAGATTTAATCACAATTTTCATCTAATTTATTTTTGATATGAGACAGCGATACCCACTCCTGCTGACTAGGGCCTTGTCATCCTAAGACAATCATTTTTCAAAACTATAGATATTACGATTCTTGTTACATCGGTATTCATTTTTTCAATAACTTTAATATCTTCACCATACCATTTCCCCAGTAAATCAAGCTATTTCATATAATCCCGTGCTAACCTTAATGGGTTGTGAGTCCATTATAAAAACGCGTGTTTGATATTGATTGCGTGCTCGATATGTACAACGAGCGGTCAAGTTGAGCCTTATATATAACACAACCGTGGGAGGGGTTTATATTTAATCCATTTATTTGAATGGCTGAGGTTCTGTTCTAAGTCAGAAAGATCATATGAAAAGAAATCTCCGCCCATTCTTCATGACGAAGACTTCTCTTAATATGATCTTACTATTCCGTAATAAAAGAACGACTGTTGAAAGTTAATCGGTAGTTTCAGAAGACGGAAACTACATAAAAGCCGGATTTTGATCCCGATAGGGATCGCTATCAATATTGAGCTCACAATTTTGATCGGCATCAAAGTTCACTAATATTGCATGCTACCAGAAAGGTTTGAGATTTACGAAGTTTGGATTCTGTTTGATGTTGATAAGTTCACTCGTGAACATTTATGTTGTTGTCAGGACGGAAAGCCTAGATTAAATTTTGTTTTATGTGTCTGTTATATCATGATCAATTAATCAAGCAATACCATGTGTAATGGGATATACTTCAGTTTTCAAGTTGGCAGCATTAATTAAACGATCTTTATTGAAATTTTTTAAAGACAAGTAAAGTTGAAGTTCGGACAAGTAAATGTCACTTGTTTGAATGGACAAGCAGGGAAAAAAGTTAATTTAGAGTCCTGCAGTTTTGTGTTGAAATTTTTAATTTACAATGTACGAGGGGTTATCAAAAAGTTCGTGGACTAGCGCCATAAAATTAAAACCGCTTGAGGTACATCAATGAATTTTTAAATATATATAGTTAGCATCATCTTTTCTATCCAAAGAATAAACCATAAATCATGATTTTTATATTTAAAAAAATTAGTAATGTTTTTGCAAGCAGCTATGGTATGTCCAGGCGGCGCAACCTCAAAAACGATGTTTTTTCGACCCATGTGTAACAGAGAAAAACTACTTTGATATGCTTTTTTGACATCCAAAAATCCCGTTATTTCAGGTATGTGTCGGGACATAATTGTTCTATAAAATAGGAAATTTTCACTTCATTCTGGAAATTGTATGAAATTTTATCGTAAAATTTACGCGGAATGTCCAAACAAATGAGGCCTTGAAAATGACGTCAAAAGGGGGGAGGGATTTCCGTTTCCAACATTCTATAAAGTTTTGCCCCTGAAAAAACTCGTATAGACCTAAAATATGTTGAAACTGGCTACAGAGAAATAATATGCATCCAGAGTACTTGTCTTTTATTGTCAAAACAGATTCAGAGAGTAAAGGGGTATACAGTTAATGTCGATTTGCAGTCAAGTTGTGAAAAATCAATCCTGTAAAAAATGACGTTGATCATGTTTGTAGATATTGAACTCCCAAAAGCAAAATATGCGGAACAATCATGCGCGGATCTCTCCCAATATGTTTATCCATCTGGAATATTATACATTCATTGACGGCCACTGTTCATGACATTGTAAAGTCATACAAACAAGGCGGGTTTAAGTCCTTACTCAGCTCCAGGGAATCTCATCAAAAAAAGTGTATGATGTAGAAGAAGAGGACATTGAAAAAGCAATTACGTTATCGGACGTCATCAAAAAAATAAACGACGACAGCGCCGGGTGATCATATAATGTCGTTTTTATTTTATAATAATTTGGCAAATAATGAACGTATCAGGCTAAAAGTTTCAACATTTCTTTTTTTTGTGTTGTTTTATGTTCCACATAAATTTTGAGAGCCCAGACTACATAGTACTAATTTTATTACCTCAGTTCACGAACTTTTTGACAACCCCTCGTACATGTAACACGTGTGATGTGTAAAATCGGACACATTTCAGACGAAACTTTAGTTGAAGTGTAGGGTGTCATAAGCTCTATATTTTACAAGTTTTCCAGAATCTAAAGTAAGTCGGCCCGCGACAAGAAGTTGATGTACATGTGGGCGATAGCCCGTCCACTTCTCTAAAGAGAATGCGTATGTATGATGTAAGAAACTGGCGTTAGTTAGTGGATTAACTCTTTTCAAAATTGTATTTTCTAATAATTTTGGTAAATTGCAAGTAAACATTATATATGTGCTAAGCATGTTTACACATATATATGTTGCATGCTTATTTTCATTATCTTATGCCACCATAGTTTCTTACGAAAACATCTCTTTTTTATTAGTGGAACCTTTGCTCGTAATTGTTGGACCACACAGGATCGATTTGGGTGAGGACGCAAAATTAAGACTCATCATCAGATCAAATAAACCAATTAAAAAAATTCATTGGATAAAAATACAGGATGAAGACAGAACGGAAATCAAGCTTTGGGAGAATCAGAAACCAGAACTCGACCCTGAATATACATTTCCCTGCAAAACTATCGAGGAAAACGGTTGCTATTTAGAACTGAAGGAAGTAACAATGAAAGATGATGCGAAGTATGAAGCTGTAGTTCAGACTGTTGTTGGCAAAACAACAAGCACGGAATGTAAGCTTATGATATTGAAAGGTACGATTTTAATGCATGCTTGTAAAAATGATTTACATACAAATAAGTAATGTAAACAAACACTTAATTACTATAATTTAGATAAAAAGAAATATAAAAAGTGGTGGGGGATCGCTCTGCAGAACATATGATGCTGAAGTATTCGTAGCCCTTATGAATTTAATAATATTAAATGATAACACTAATAACGTGGGTGTTAAGGTTTGTTAATCGAAATTCTTTGTCTCAGGATTTTACAAAAAATAAGATGAGTTAGATTGATTGATTGAATACTGTTCAACGTCCCTCTCCAGAATATTTCACTTATATGGAGATGTCACCATTGCCGGTGAAGGGCTGCAAATTTAGGCCTATGCTCGACACTTACGGCCTTTGAGCAGGGAGGGATCTTCACCCCTGCCACACTTGCTGTGTCACGGGGCCTCGGTTTATACGGTCTCATCCGAAGGACCGCCCCATTTAGTCGCCTTTTACGACAAGCAAGGGGGTACTGAGGACCTATTCTAACCCGGATCCCCACGGGGTAAGATGAGTTAGAAGATCTTGCTTTTATGTCAGTGAAATGTATAGAGCATGATTCCTTGTTGTTAGATGCTGCAAAATAGTTATTTTACACAGCGATCGTAATTTTAAGTCATTCTAATGAGTTCTTGGTTATGAGTAGTAGAATTAAGAGATTCATAAAAATACATGATAAAAATATTTTTATTATTGGACGATATTCAGAAATATTTAAAATGAAGAACTTTTTTTCAAATGACACAAATGATTAAATCCACTTTTCAACAAAAATAAAGTTAAAAGTTATGATCAATTTTTGAAATACCGATTTCTGCCAACCCTAATTCTGTACTATTTCAAAAAATTCCTGGTGACAGTATTTTCAATTTTGAGTCTGATGGACATACCAAAGTGATTTGAATTTACCTTTCCCCCCAAACTAAGAGGTGTATAATTTATCAGTAACAGATTCTGTAGGTCCAGAGTTCAACCCCGGGCTAGGGCTGAAGTGGGTATCCTTATAAAAGTGAATTTCTCAGTGATTTCCATATTAATATTTCTTCACTTAAGGCAGTTATGATAGTTTAAGAGTTGTTGTAAATTGTGCCTTATAAATAAAAATTAATTTCATTATAACATGTATTGTTAACGATCCTCTAATAAACCAAATGTCCAAAAAACCGTATCTCACTTCTATTCTCAATGACTGTGTAGTGTAGGGCTGCGCTGTAAGAATTCCATCGGCATCGAAGGCAAGTTTTTTGACTTGCCTAGATAGCCGAGCGGTCTAATGCGATGTTCCTGTACTGCTAGGAGACAGTTTCCGTAGGTCTAGAGTTCAACCCCGGGCTGGGGCGGAAATTATAAAATTGAATTTCCCTGTGCTCTCTATAAATATGGAAACGGGTTTCGGGAATTTAAGAATATTAAAGGTTTAACTTTTCAATATATTGAGCATATAAAGCGAACATGCAATGTAATTATTTATTTTTAGCGCCTCCACGTGTTAAAGTATTTACCGATGGATCAAAGAGAACCATTAAAGCAAACATCAAGTCCAATGAGGAGGTTCAATTGTTGACTTGGCAAAGGATGTACCATGGATCATTTCAGGATATTGATATCGTGCACAGAAAATATATTGGTTCAACTTTCGACAAAGAGAATCCAAAGCTAGAGATCCGGGACTTGACTGCAGAGGATGATACGTTGTATCGCCTAATTGTAAAAAATACTGCAGGAGAATGTACAAGTAATGAAGTTCATCTGGTACTTAAAGACGGTAATTAACTTACATTCAATTCAACAAGAAACAATCAAACATTAATCGAGTTTGAGTTCCAATTTTCTCACCTACGATTTTATTTATCATTAGCTGTACCTCTTCTCACAATAAATGGGCCATATCAAGTAGATTCCGGGGATAACGTTACGCTGACACTCATCATTAGATCAAATAAACCAATTAAAAAAATTCAATGGCTAAAACTGCAAGATGAAAACAAGACAGAAATGAAGCTTTGGGAGAATCAGAAACCAGAACTCGACCCTGAATATACATTTCCCTGCAAAACTATTGAGGAAAACGGTTGCTATTTAAAACTACAGAAAGTAACAATGAAAGATGATGCGAAGTATGAATCTGTCGTTCAGACTGCTGATGACAAAACAACAAGCACAAAATTTATGCTAAAGATTCTAAAAGGTAAGATTTCATCAACTGTTAAGGTCACCTTGGTTGTTTGGGATATCCATGGATGCAGTGACAAAAATTATGCATTGCGTGATTTTTGCGCTGTGTTATTCTCGCTTTCAGAAATAGAGTTAAATGTTCTATTTAATTATACTTTAAGTTAATTATAAGTATTGATTTCAAAAATGTTTCCACAGCTATTGCAGAAATCATTCTGCCGGAGGATGGAGAAGTGTGTTATGGAGGGAAGGCCAGCATTTCTGTCACTTTTAGAACAAATTCTCCAGTACAGCGCATTGAATGGATGAAAGCTTTTCAGGATAATTTTACCACCATCAATATATTGCGTGATAAATACAATCAATCGGGCTATGATTCAAGTGGTGCAGTTCTGTTAGTACATGATTGTGATGTGCTGGATGACGCATATTACAGAATAACAGTATACAATGGATTTGGAAAATCAACAAGCAGAAACATGCATTTGCGTGTTCTAGACGGTATGGTGTCTATAGATCTCAAATATTATAAACCTCTTAAAGCATACCATTTTAGTGATTTATATCCTCTTATTTTAGCCCCTCCAAGTGTGATATTGTCTATATCAGAGACCCCTATTCTTCAAGAAACAGCAAGAATTTTTGCCAGAATTCATGCCAATAGGCCATTGAGTAAAATCACTTGGCACAAATATCTTCAGGGTGTATGCAAAATAACTGAAAGCATGTCTCGTGATTGCCAAACATATTACAGCACTACGGAAGAATATGAAGAGTACCTGTTAATACGAAAAGTAAACATCAATGACCAAGGCCTTTTCCATGTGGAAGTGTCACATTATACAGGCAAAGTACAAAGCAATACCATTCGTTTCGTTTTGGAAAATGGTAAGTTTATAAAATATGTCATAAATATCAATGTTTGTCGTTTGATGACCTCTCAAGAATTTTTCACTCACACGAAGATGCAACCACGAGTTGGAGGCCTGCGAATTTGACGTATACTCGGCAATCACCTTCTGTTTTGTCTGTATCATCAGAAAGACCGCAATGGAATCGAACCTGTAACCTAAGAATAGCTCCATACTCTGCAGAAGACCCTATATTTACTGCGCCGCAAATTAATTTTGTGAAGACTACAGGGAAACATTCTTATGATCATGCGGAATTTGGCAATGATTGTATATATCTTCAATTAACCTTAATTCTACTACGATTATTGCAGAGAACAAAGAAATGCCGCGGACATTATTCTTAAATGAATCACGAAAATAATGATCAGATCAGAGATACTTATAAAATCTTTGCAGTTGAAATATACATTTGACTTAAGAATGAAATACTTATTCAGACCACATTGATTTGTTACATCTTTTGCAATTTGCACACTACAAAAAGAAGCTGATGAATGTAGGTTTCTTAAGCTAAGCGGGACTGTTTCACGGACCTCCCTACACCTTATTAGGTCTTTCCACCTTTCTGTGGAAAGACCTATTGAAATTGTTCTGTTTATTAGGTCTCTTCCACCTTTCTGTGGAAAGACCTCTTGAAATGCTTCTGTTTTTTATTTTATTTCTTACCTTATGTTTTGACACCGTAAGACTTATCGAAAAACTTTATAGTTCATGATACTGGATATTCAAAGTTATTCCGAAAAATGACCCCCCATGTTTTAACTTAGATCCCTTATGCAGTTATTGCCCCTTTCACCGAAAAGCTTGTTATCGCTACTCCTCCGAAACCGTAAACCGTAGAGATATAAAACCTTCACCATTGTCTTCAACTAATTAAGGAGACTTTTCAATCTATTCATTGCGAAAGTTTTCTTTGACCCCTTCAATGAGTAACTGCCCCTGAAAGTTTATAAATTTTACTAAAAATTAAAAATTTTCAAAACGAAAAGTCTTAGAGACATGAAACCAACTGCATAACATTCAATGACCTTTTGCCTTCAAATTCATTTCAAGGTCAAAGGTCAAGGTCATTCCAATTATGAGAAATAAATTTCTCTTAATAGCTCTTATGTCCTTAAACATATACGATCTATCTTATGTCTTTAATATGTACTTTTGAAACTCTTTAGAAGATATAAATCTTGGCCCCTAAGATTGAGCCTTTTAAAAGTTGTTGCCCCTTGTGCTAAAAACCCTTGTTATCGCTACTCCTCTAAAACCGTAAACCGTAAAGGTATGAAACCTTCACCAATGGCTTTGCCTAATTATGGAGACTCTTCAATCTATTCATTGCGAAAGCATTCGGTAACCCTTCAATCAGTTATTGCCCCTGAAACGTTTTGAATATTACAAATAATTAAAAATTTTCAAAACGACAAGTCGTAGACATGGGACCAACTGCATAAGATTCATTGATCTTTGATCATGAAATTACTGCAAAGGTCAAAGGTCAAGGTCATTCCAAAATTGAGAAATTAAGCTCTTTTTATATCTTTTTTGTCTCTTAACATATACAAACTGTCTTAGCATCATTAATATGTATTCTTAAAACTATTTAAAAGGTTAAATTCGTATTCCGTAATATTGACCCCATTAAAAGTTATCACCCTTTGTGCGAAAAACCTTGTTATCGCTACTCCTTCAAAACCGTAAACCGTAGAAATATGAAACCTTCACTAAAGTCTTTGACTAATTGAGAGGACTCTGGAATCTATTCATTGTGAAAGTCTTCGGTGACCCCTCCAATGAGTTATTGCCCCTGAAACTTTTTGAATTTTACTAATAATTAAAAATTTTCAAAACGAGAAGGTGTAGAGACATGCACCCAACTGCATAAGATTAATTGACCTTTGAGCTTAAAATTCATATAAAGGTCAAAGGTCAAGGTCATTCCAAAACTGAGAAATTTAGTTCTTTTTATATCTCTTTTGTCTTTCAACATATGCTTAATGTCTATGCATCATTAATATGTACTCTTAAAACTGTTTCAAAGATTTCATTCTTGTCCCTTAAGATTGACCCTATTAAAAGTTATTGCCCCTTGTGCAAAAAACATTTTATTTGCTATTGCTCCAAAACCGTAAACCGAAAAGACATGAAAACTTCTCTAATGTCTTAAGGGTTCTTAGGCACAACTTCAATCTGATCAGTGCGAAAGGATCTGATGACCCATTATATAATTATTCCCCTTTAACAACTTTGCACTTATTACTAAGCCTCATAACTTAAAAAGTATAAGTAGTAGAGGCTTGGCGTCAATTGCATTGTAACCTGTGACCTATATTGACCTTTGACCTTTAAATTAATTTCAGGGTCAAAGGTAAGGTCATTCCAAATATAAGGAATAAATTTCTTTTAATAGATTTTTTATCCTTAAACATATACTATCTATCTTCTGTATTTAACTTGAAATATTAATTATCTTTTAAACATTTTATTCTTTTCTTTTTGGTTTTACCCTTGTAAAAGTTATTGCCCCTTGTGCGAAAAACCTTGTTATTGCTACTCCGAAATCGTAGATTGTAGAGACACCAAACCTTGGCTAAGTGCTTGAGGGTCTTTTGCCAAAACTTCATCGCATAAGTGCAAAAGGATCTGATGACCCCTTATATGAGTTATTGCCCTTTAATGTCTTCGTACTTACTATTAAACCTTATATTTTCGAACTATAAGATGCAAAGACATGGTGTTAATTGCAATTTTATCCTTGACCTTTGAACTTGAATATTTTTCAAGGTCAAAGGTCAAGGTCATTCTCAAATTAATTTTTTTAAGCCATCTCTGGTTTTCTTTTTCATGAAATTGAAATTCAAAGAAGATGAATAATTTTCAATAAGAATCTGAGCGTTTTTCTTTTAATTATTTTATTTCTTACCTTATGTTTTGAAAATGCAAGACTTATCAAAAACTTTTTGAATTTTAGATTTTAAAAAAAATTAGAAATTTTCATAACGAGAAGTCATAGAGACATGAAACAAACTGCATGTGATGCATTTACCTTTGACCTTAAAATTTCTGCATTGGTCAAAGGTCAAGGTTATTCAAAAAAAGAGAAATTAGGCTCTTTTGTACCTTATTTTTCATTGGACATACATGTATACTATCTGTCTTTGCATCATTAATATGTACTTTTAAAACTATTTTCAACATTTCATTCTTGTCTGCTAAGATTGACCCTTAAAAAAGTTATAGCCCCTTGTGTGAAAAACCTTGCTACCGCTACTCCTCCGAAACCGTTAAATGTTAAGGCACGAAATATTCACTTATGCCCTCATGATCTTTAGACAAACAGTTTTACTTCAATTCATCAGTGTACATCTGAAAGGAACTGATGGCCCCTTAGGCTTATATGAGTTATTTATACCCTTTAACTTCTTTACACTAGTCATTAAACTTTAAAACTAAAAGTCATAAACGCATGGGCTTTATCGCAATGCAATTCATAACATTTGACCTTGAAAATTTATTGAAGGTCAAAGGTCAAGATGATTTCATCATTTTTAATTTTTAATTTTTTTCCTCTCTTTCAAGCAATCTCTGGTTTCTTTTTCATTGAATTTAATTGTATCAACTAAAAATAGACAATTTAAAAAAAATTTTAAAAATGGACTTCATTTCAAAGGTCAAATGTCATTTTATCGAATGCAATAAAATATTGTTTACTTTTATTAACAATTTCCATGTTACCTGCGTAATATTTATTCAATGTCAAGCTGTGCAGATGCATTGTAAGTACTGCATGATGTTATGTATATTTAAAATTATTTAATTAAAGAAATTTTTCTATATATGTTTACTTGATTAATTGCCAGATGTAATGCCTATATTTCCTCAAAATGACTGATAGCAAAAAGAGGGGATGTTTTAAGAGTTATGTTACTTTCTAAAGTTTGATGATAACATTAAAAATATTTTAGTAAAAAAAAATTAAAAAAAAAACGTTTGCTTCATTTAAACGTATAATGTTTTTTTAGAACTTAGAAAGAAACAAATGCTGGGTAACTCTTTAAACATTCCCCTTCCGACATTTAAATTAAAATGTGCTAGTCCGCAATATACAACAAATGCAGTCCGAATTCTACCATGCATTAAGCTCTTTTTAGGTCTTTGCATCTATAATATGTACTCTAAAAACTGAAAAGACATGAAAATTTCTCTAATGTCTGATGGGATTTTAGGCAAAACTTTTATGTTCAAGCGCAATAGGATCTGGTGACTCCTTGAATGAGTTATTTCCCTATAATGCTTTTGTGCTTACTATTAAACCTTATAACTTTAATACTATAAGTCATAGAGATAGGAGGTTAATTACAATGTGACCCTTGACCTTTGACCTTGAATATGATTTGAAGGTCAAAGGTCAAGGTCACCTGAAAATTTTTAAATTTTCATATTTTTTCTTCTTTAAAGCCATTCCTGGTTTCTTTTTTTATGAAATTTAATCTTAAAGAGATAAATTATAAATGAAATTGAAATTCAAAAGGTGGAAAGACCTCTTATTGTTCTTTGAACAATAAGTCTCCTAGTTCTTCTTATTTTTCCGCCGTGTGATTTTGAGTTTCAAGATTTATCGAAAAGATTTATAGAGCATAAGAATGTACTTCGTAAATGATTTTCGCAATTGACCCTACGTATATGAACTCTGACCCCTCAAGGAGTTACAACCCCTTTCGCAATAAATGTTTGTTATCGCTACTCCTCCAAAACCGTAAAACGTAGAGTTACAAAACCTTTACTAATGTCTACGACTTATTTAGTAGATGCTTCAATCTGTCTTTTCGAAAGAATTCGTAAACTTCTATTATGAATTATTGCCCCTGAATGTTTGCGATGTTTATGAATGTCAAGATTTTTTCTTAAACGACAAGTCGTAGAGACATGGGACCAACTGCAAAAGATTCATTGACCTTTGACCTTAATATTTAGGTCAAGGTC